TGTGTTTCGAACAGTGAGATGGTGACCTGCCAAAAATTGACAACGTGATTTCTTATCTGTCGTAATGCTACAACTGTTGAAACTTATGGCGCACATTCGTTAGACTGTAGTCTTCTACGGCGCAACTTAGCTTTTTCTTCCCTTATATGCGACATTATTCCATAGAGCAAACTTTAAAACATGGCATTATTACATGAAAAACCAGAGTGATAGTAATGTACTTTATCCAACGATTTTAGTTTTACTCCTTTCTTCATAAGTCACTCAATCAGTTTCGATGGCCGTTTATCCTTTTCGGTCGCCGAAACAGATCCCCAAAAATCCTGATTTTCTACCAGTTTCAGCCTTGGCGGAAGGTAACCGAAGGAGCAGCAGAGCATTTCGAGACACTTGTTCCTGAATCTTCTTAATCGCCCCATGGGTAATTTGCCGGTCACTTAGGGAAATAGAAAATGATCACGGCTCTCTCGGATGTCCGAACTTTGGACCATGTCGAGAATGAGTAAAGCGATTCGTATCAGAAAATGCATTTCAGCCGCTTTAACGAGGGACTGAAATCATCTTTGCAGCCCATGACCGTGGGAAAGCATTGGAATGAAGATCGACCTAAACACTGAGTTTCAGGCTCAGCACCGCTTTAGTCAAAATGGTTCGAGCTATTTCATGCAGAACACCATTGGCTACTGCAATTCGCCGGTTGATTTCTTCCTCGAATTTTCCATCGCCAGTAAATACGATCTCGAGGTACATTAACTTCTCTACCTGCTCCACTGCTTTTACTTTATCCGGAGAGAGCAACGGGCAGGAAAATGAGAAAGCACTAGGCATTTTTGAAATACGTTCACATGAATGCCAACCACGTTGCACTGGGCTACGAACCTTTCCATAGAGCGCTAGAAATCAATTTCAGAAGATGCCAACAAAACAAGGTCGTCTGAAAACAGCAACCTTCTGGCATCCTATGCAGAAACACTCATCACCTTGGCTTCGTCTGACCATTCTGTCCATGTACAAGACAAACAGGAGAGGGGACAGAACGCAACCTTGGCGGAGACCAGTGCCAACGCTGAAAGGTCTCAACTTAATGCCACTGACTCTGACGCAGCATCTGTTTCCCGCACATAGAGATTCAATGACCTGTAGTAATTGGCCATCGATCGCATACGTTCTCAGGCACGTCCCTAGATTGCTGCGCGGGATCCGGTAATAGGCTCTTTCTAGACATACAAAGCACATATAAACCGCATGAGCGAAATGCCACGATTTCTCAACAATCTGACATAAGGTGAAAATCTCATCACAGGTGCTTCAGCTTGATCTGAAGCCAGAGTGCTCATCTTGGAT